CACCTGAAGGTTGCATGGAATCCTGTCTGTGTTTCCTGTCTGCTTTCAGGAAAGCCCAGTCAGGATAATGAGTATCAGTCACATGGAGGCAGGGCTTAAAAGCCTGAATTTTGCCTGAAACTCTCAGACTGAAGAAGTCTCTTGGAGGAGAGACGAAACGTTTCATTAAAGAAGAACCCGTCCAGAAGACCTACACAATTTTTTTCTTTTTGTTTTTTACCTGGATTACTGAGATGCATCAGGACACCTGTCAGTACATTGAATAGCCATTATTAGAGGTCATCAATCCCATGTGACTGTCCAATGAGCTTTTGTGTCTTTCCCTCCTTGTTCAAAGTGTCAGTGGTCATATTCTGGACAACTGTCCAGTCAGCAGTCTTCCCCATGATTGTGTGGCCTACAGAACTGGACTTGAGACCATTTAAAGGCCTCTGCAGGTGTTTTCAGTTAATTAGCTGGTTAGAGAGTGACACCAGGTGTCTTCAACATTGAACTTTTTAACAATATCCTAATTTTCTGAGATACTGAATTTGGGATTTCCATTAGTTTTCAGTTATAATCATCAAATTAAAAGAAATAATATTTGAAATATATCATTCTGTGTGTAATGTATTAATATAATATACAAATTTCATTTTTTGAGTGGAATTACTGAAATAAAATCAACTTTTTAAAGATATTCAAATTTCATGACCAGCACCTGTATATTGGCTAAAAAAATGCATTTTTTGTTTAAAAAAAAGGCAGCAAACATTTAATCAAGAGTGAATAAAAGCATGGATAATAGGTAAACCTTTGTGAAGGTGCAGTTTAGAAGAGTTATTTGCATAAACATTATCTTAAATTTAATTATTTCACACAGTTTAAAACAGTGAAGACAAACAAGAAGTTGTTTCATTGTGGTTTTATTTTTTTACTGTATTGATGTGAATGAAAAATCTATCCATGACCGCACTTTACAGCATAATATTCATATACGTGTGTATATTTATATATATTTAAATATATATAAAAAGAATCCAGTTTTGAATCGTTCCCACATTAGGAAATCAAACAGGTCAAGTGGTTATCGATAACAATGAAATACTTGCACGTAAAGAGGCCATCTGAACAACACTCCTCCCATAGTAAATCATTTTGTGAAGCACAAGCTCCTGCTTTGATTCAATACAAGTGGTGGTTCTGGATTTTGGCACCAGATTATCGCCCTAATCTCAGGCGTGAGGTTCGGTGTGACATCCTTTTAAATACAGTACTGCTACTTGGGCAAACCAAACTAAAACTGCTACCACCAAATGATGTCACTCTGGGTTAAAAACACAAAAAAGTTAAAAGATGAGAATCAAAGTTTTTTGTTTTTTCTCCCTCCAATCGATCTGCTCGGCTGCAGCCAGGCACACACAGAGCGCTCGTGTTCGAAAGCCTTTCAGCTCTGCAGACGGAGAGGTAGTGTGTAAAGTTGAGGAGGCCTCCCCAGTGAGGTGTTCGAATCACAAAGTTGTGGAGAAAAAAAAACAGACAAACCACAGTCAGACAGTTGAACTAGGATGGACAGACGAACAAATACCTCGAACCCCTCTTAGAAGCATCAAAAGAAAAGATACATAATGGCTGCAAAGTTGCTACATAGGTTCGAAGCATCAACTAAAAGCGCTCCAAATGTAGTTTTATTTTTTTATATACACAAACAAAAGTTCAAACACACAAAAGTCTCCTTCACTCACGTGTGACCTATCACTGCTTTTGTGAGTGGAGTTTAAACGGGTGAAACAATGAAGAGTATTAAAGTGAAGAAGTGACCGAACTGATGGGAAATTTTATGTTTTTTTTTTTCTCTGAACCTCACAGTGTGGAGTAGAAAATTTAAAAAAAAGGACAAGGAACTGGTTAGAAATTAAAATCAAAAACAGAAAAAGTCACAGTAATAATATTCAGATTTGGAGTATTCTCCTTTTTTTATTTTTTATGATGTGATATTTATTTAAAACAAAACTTTGTACACGTTTGTGTTACTGCTGTATCCCCGAGTTTGATCAAAACAACATCCTCTAACTAGGGCTGTGTATTGGCAAGAATTTGGCGATACGATACATATCATGACAGAGGGGTCACGATACGATATATCCCGATATATTGCGATACTGTAAACAAGGCGATATATTGCGATTTTTTTTCCAAAAATTCTATTAAATAAAAACCTCTTACTGCTGCCAACTAGCCGTTCATTTTTATGTTGTAGTTCAGCCTCTGACCACTAAGTGGCAGGAGTGAGCCAGCCATTTGGCCCCTCTACCTCATGAGCGCCAGAGAGGAAGAGAGCATTAGCATTGTGAGTAAACATTAGCTTCATGCTCCGATAGCTGAATCTGAGCAGAAAAGACCGACACCCTGTTCTTTTTTCCTTTTACCTGTACATGCATTTTTGTCTTCCCATAAATGTTTTTTTCTCCCATAAATCTTCTTAT